TGACTACCTACACATTCAAACTTCAGTCTAAAAACACCTGTCTGCCAGACACTACAATAAACATAATTTTAAGGCAAATGGTAAACTAGAAAAACCATAATGGCAACATATATGACAGGAGAAGAGCTAATATCCTTAATGTATAAATAGCTCTTACAAATCAATAAGAAAAATAAGTTAACATGGACAAAGATAAAGAACAGGCAATTCACAAAAAAATTCAAGTAGCCAGTAAATAACAGAAATAAAGTTAAATTTAAAAGTGNTAATGATATCTTGAGAATGTGTGTATCGTAACTCTTGACAGAGAATTTTTGCTTTGCTCTCTAAATCCAAGGTGAAATATCATCTGAAAAGCAATAGATAAGATACTTCCCAGCAGAAAACTCTCCGATACTCACCAAAGCTACTTTAGTTGATGTATTTAGACTTCTCAGTTCATTTACCCTTTTCCTCCACTGATTTATTAACTGGTGGACAGAATTTAGCTGAAGAGAGAAGACATAAAAATGACTCAGCATTGGGTGTTTAATTTCTTCAATAATAGCTTCACATATTTGCCAAAATCACAAAAAGTTTATATAACAGTTTTATGGGACATAACATAAATTTGCATTGACCTGCCAATATTTGCCATAGATATTCCAGTTCTAGTCCCTTCTCCCTGTTCTCCAACTCCTTGTATCACCTGGTTAATAATCACAAGTACCTGGCAGCACAGAGTTAGGTATATTTGGATGGGAGGTGAACATGTGTCCTAGCTGAGATGCAGGACTCTGGACAACAGAAAAATACAGAATTTGTATCATTTCCTTCAGGTATCCAACTTATTCTAATCCAAATTTTTGAATTTTTTGATATTTGATATGTGAGAATGCTAATCTATATAACAGACTTCATCTTATTTAACTTTGTTTTCTATCATTCATCATGAGATCCGCACCTAATAGATGCTCAATAAATGTCTGTGAAACAATGAAAGGGTTTGATTCTGGGACTGACTTATGAGTAATTTGTAATAAAAATAATGATATTCCTAATTACTACTGTCAAAATATATTATCCTCATTTTAGACAACCAACCAATGTCAAAGAAAATAATTTAAAAAATAAAAATAGCCTTGTCCTGAAAAAAATTATAGACCTCATCAAGTTTGCCAAAACACAAGAAGTCACTACAAACAGAGAAAACAGTAATTAACAGCTAATCTGTTATTGAGGTAGATGAATAGGAAACAAACTTACATAACTCTGTAAGTTATTGCTGGTTAAGAAGTTATGGTATTCAAGCCTCAACTCCTCTGGTGAAATGTCTGTAAAACCTGAAGTGAGGAATCAATTGGAATCTTTAAAATAAACACCAATATTTTTGATAGTAAAGCTGGAGGTGCTAGACAAGAAAATATGCTAATGTTATTAGAAAATTTTCATAATTGTAAGGAAAGACTACACTATAAT